CACGCGTCTGTTGGCATGGTCTGACTGTTAGCCGCGTCCACCGTGATCCCCGAGCAGCTGGCGGACGCGTTAGACATGTCCTTCATGGTCGTGATGACGTTGCGTCCTGCTTTGCGTGCCCTGTACTCGACCACCGCCATGGTTAGTATCGCTCCGTCTCTCCTCCGTCCTCTGATGATGCCGTAGTCCAGATCCGCATGCATTCGTGTCTGTTGTCGTCGCATGCACGCCGCGTAGTATGCCTCACCGATCGGGTCGATGATGGGATAGGTTCTCTTGTTTGGTGGTCCTGGTGTATTGTTCTTCATAACCCTTGTCGCTGCGCTTTGGTGCCGCTTGCCTGGTGTGGTGGTGTTCAGCCGAACTGCTGCCGCATGCTGCTCGGAATACGTAGTGGAAGTGTGTTGGTTCTGTCGGTTCTGGTGGTGCTCCCAGCCTTTGCCGTCGCTGTGTCGTGTTGTCGCAGTCGCAGAGTAGGGGTCGCCATAGCTCCGATGGTGCTGCCGCCGTGGGTGCTGCTCGTCGTAGCTGAGCTGCCTTCAGGCTGCAGCTGATGTGCTTCATGTCCTGGTCGATGATGTCCTCCAGCTCGTTCTCGTCGTAGTCCACTGGCTCCGCGTGGATAGGTACATGAGTAAGTTCTGCTTCTTGTTGCTCCGTACCTTCCATGCCGCTATGTCTGCCTGGCAGCTTCCAAAAATCCAGCCGTTCATGTCGTGTAGGTTATACGGTGACGCTGGTCCAGTAGTCTCGTTTTCGTGGTCCATATCTGTCTCTTGCGGTACGTCGTTTGAGTCGCCGAACGCGCGCAAGGTCTCTACATGCCCATGCCTCGTAGAGTTCGACCACCCGCTAGTCCGTTTTCCTCGTGTACTCCACCTTCCTCATGGCGGCGCATTCTTTCGTTATCCTGCGCAGTTGGCTCTCCAAGTGCCTCAGGTGCTTTTTGTTCTGATCTGTGGGGTCTTCATCTGCGAACGTGTTCTGCATGTCGTCCTTCGCGGTCGGCTCGTCTGTCTCTGCCTGGCTATAGTGTATGATTTCCTTCCTTGCACTTGTCGCCTGGTATCTTAATACGTAGCGTGTCCCCGTCGCGTCGTAGCTTTTCTCATCGGTGGCGTCGTTGACTGAGCATCTCCATCCGCTGGTATCGGAGTGTCTCGTACGCTGGCGTGGGTCGAGGTTGGCTAATGTATACTGGTTTTGCCGCTTTTATTATGATCTCGCTGAGGTCCCCGAAGAGCGCGTCCAGTCCTTTGTGCGTCGGGTCGTAATCCTCGAGTTGTGTTTCCAGGGTTTTAATGAAACCGTCCCTCTTGTCGCCCTTGCGCGCTGCCGTCGCCAGTAGGTCCCTGTCCCATCGCACCGGCTGTCGCACTCTGCGTTTCTGTTGTTTGATCACCATTCGTATCGTCGTCTGTACTGGTACGCTGTCTTTGTGATGTCGGCTCGGTAACTGCTGGAGTCGCGCGCCCATCCTCAGTAGCGGTCCCTGGCTGACAGCGTTGCCCGAACATTTTAGTGGGATCATGATGTACTCGATGCAGCTCGCCGTGTGTGTGTGTGTGCCAAGGTAGGTGGACCGCCATGTGTTCCTGTCTTCTTTAGTTCGAGGCTGCGGTGGAAACTAATACCCAACGATCGTCATCTTGATGTTGTGGTGGATGATATCCACCGCCAGGCCCCTGCCGCTCAGCTCTTGAGGCGGAATCTACGTGGTTAGTATTTGTGCGCCTCGCAGTTTCCTCTGAGGAGGAGTCCACAGACATCGCCCATTGCGTGCAGCAGAGCAGTGAAGAAGATGAGATATCTGGCCCTCCACAAATTCATGATATTGATGTGGCGGCCAGCACGGAGTTTTTTTTTTTTTTTTTTTTTTTTTTTTTTTTTTTGTTTTTCCCCTCTCTCTCAGACTCAAAAGACTGGCTCTCATCTTGTCGAGAGCTACCTGTCCCAGCACCCTGAAGCGGTTCTTCAGGGAGCGACGGAGGAGTATGTCCCTCCGTTGCCAGTTGATGGCCCATGCTCCTCGGCCACGATGGCATCGAAAGTTGTGAAGCACTTCGCTGAGGCGTACGCTGTTTTGAGCCCTGGTCGCAAGGCTCAGTGTGACCATTGGCTGCGCTCCCTTGCCATCTACCTCCAGCCCAGCCTTTTCGATGACCCTATCGGCGTGATCCAACGCATCATCTCCGACAGCCCTATGGGGACGATTGAGGAGCTCAAAAACAGGCTTGGAGTGTCACCATTATGTGCTGCCCCTCAGGATACTCAGGTGCATGAGGGACATTTAGTAGATTGGACTGGTGATGCGCAGCTCGCGGTGGACAAAGTGCTCCTATGCGAGGAAGCCTTTCAGTTCAACTGTCCAGCAATGCGTGGGCTTCGCGAGCACACCTCCCGCCTATCGGGAACCTACTGCTGTGACTAGTGTGGTCAGGACATCAGTGCTCATAAAAGTTTCTTGATTTGTGAATCATGCGACGTTGGAGTGCGTTTGGGGTGTCAAAACAATGTTGCCGCTATGAAAGCTGCCATGGAGGTGAGTTGACATACTCGTCCGTGTGCCGCTTGTTCCACTCGTGCTCTCTCTATGGCGCTGTGATCATTGGATCCTCGGTGCCGTTCCTTCACATCCTTATTGTGCCCTCTCATTGTGGTCATGTTTTATAGTTGGAGTCATTTTGACTCCACCATCCGCCAGGATGCTTCCTGCCCCGCACTGCGTCGTCTTCGCCAAAGTTACTCCGCAATGCAGGCCAGTTTGCTTCATTGACGCTGATGATCTCGTCTCGTTCAGGCAGTCATGCCCAAAATTGTTCAGGAAGACGGCGATCTTCTGCGCCGAGTCCCGAGTATTCGATGCCTGTTATGGATACCACATTGCCCACCAGTCTGTGAGGCTGAAGTGGTTGTCCGTCGTTTACGAGTCTCAGTTCTCAGAAGCGCGTACCAAAATGGGTGGCACTCTCATTCCTTGGAATCAACTTGTTCCCCACTGATATCTCTACGCGTATGCTTCGCCGATGGGTCACCTCTTCTTGCAAGCTTTGTATCTCAATGTGATAATTGGTTGTCTTCCGCTTTGGTTCTTCCCTTCGACCTGAGCGTGGTGGTATATTATGTCACGTTTGGTGGCGTTTGAAAATTACACGGGTCATATATTGCCCCTGGTGGAAAAATACTCGTTCTTCGGTTTGTCAGTTCTCCGCTCTGCCAGCCCGCGTCTATGTAGCGAGTGTCGTTGAGTCTTCGTTGCTCTGGGTGTTCGCCTTTGCGACGCCGTTGAGTTCCTGCCAGGGTCACCGCGCCGAAGTTTTGAGCTTCTTCAGCATCTCGCTCATGCGCTCCTCTCGTGCTGTCATCGGATTTTGCAGCGGCAGCGCCCGTGGGGCCGTGCATGCCATCGCTGCACTGCGGGCCTCTGTCCAGTCAGTTCTTCCTCCACATGCGGTGGAATGACTGTGTGAGGTTCTTGGCAGCCCTGACAGTCTCCTGAGCCCAGATGGCAGCTGGAGGAGGAGGAGGAGCAGGAGGAGGAAGATAAGGAGGAGGAGGAGGAGGAGGAGGAGGAGGAAGAGGAGGAGGAGGAGGAGGAGGAGGAGGAGGAGGAGGAGGAGGAGGAAAGTTAGAGGATGTGGAGGAGGTGGAGGTGGAGCAGGAGGAGGAGGAGGAGGAGGAGGAGGAGGAGCAAGAGGAGAATGTGACGGAAGAGGAACGACCTCCAGGGACCCCACGGGATTTTCTGGGTGGATGTGGAGGAGAAGGCGGAGGTTACCAGCATCGGAGCGGGAGGGGCTGGATGTCACCGCCTCCCGTTCATTCTCCTCTCGCCCGCCGCCCCTTCTTGTGTTGTCAGGAACCCGATCAACCGCAGAGCGGCCAGCTAGTAGGAAACGTTGGGCTGACGAGATCCACCATGCCACGCGTGTGAAGCATGACGCTACAAGATCAAGCGCGGGCTGCGGACCTCGCGACACCCTCTGATACCCTCCGCGCTGAGGTCCCCGGCCGGACACCGTACGCTTCCCGCCTCCGCTGCATGCGGAGCGCCGCCCTGCGGACCTCGCTGGGCGACGGAGTGTGAGCCTGACGCGAAGAGGAGTGCGCATTCACCGCGGAGTCGTTCGAAGGCGAGGGTTTACCAGTGGGGGACAGCACAAGGCCACCGTGAGACGCAGGTGGCGAGTGTTGAGAACACGGGGGCGAACCGTTTTCAGTGGCGTTCGCGTGCGGAGGGACGGAGCACGAGGGCCACTTCTGCAGCGACGGTCCGGGGCGGATGGGGATGAGGGGGAGAAGAGGCAACCCAAGACGGCCAGGGACCTTGGCGTCTTGAATATCTTCATGCGTAGAGAGCAGGGCCGACAGCGGTTCTGGGTTGTCAGGACGCTATGTGCCGCTCGTCTTCTCGTCCTCACTACTCTGAGCGAGGTGCCATGGACGGCTCTGGTGTATGAGGTAGCCACGGCTGCTTGCTTTCGCCTGCATTGTCGCCTTCCTGGACCAATGTAGATTCTTTGGGAGGTTGCACGGGTCGAGGCGGCTGCTGCATCGGCGAACCTAGCACCTAGCAGCGCATGTTTGAATGCGAATGCCACCGAGCATCCTTCCTCCTGTGAGGGATGCGTTGGTGACAGCAGGGATCGAGGGCTCTTTGGCTACAGTGGCGAGTCGGCCGCCACCATCAAGCCTGGACTGGAACACCGCATGTGCAACAGCTACGACACGAGTGGCACACTGGAGGGCCCAAGTCCGATGTCAATGATCGATGTCTTCCTCTTCCTCCTCCTCCTCTCCCTTCCTATCCTCCTCGATCCTCTTCAATATTCCTCGATTCTTCTCCTCCTCCTCCTCCTCCTCCTCCTCCTCCTCCTCCCCGTCCTCCTCCTCCTCCTCTTCCTCCTCCTCCTCCTCCTCTTCTCCCTCCCCATCACTGGTTTCGGCCTGCGATCTCCCTCGCGCTCCTCTTCGCTTCCTGGCCCAGCCGTCACGCCGAGGACGTCGCGGAGCTCGCGGGCAGGATCGTCCAGGCAACTCGGGCCTGTCCTGCGAGGAGGGGCAATAGGGGGAGGAGGAGGAGGCGGAGGAGGAGAGGAAGGAAGGAGGAGGAGGAGGAGGAGGAGGAGGAGGAGGAGGAGGAGGGGGAGGGGGAGGGGGAGGGGAGGAGGAGGGGGGGAGGAAATATGGGAAGGGGGTGCCAACGGAGAGACGGAGGAAGGAGGTGGGGGGGAAGGGGGGTGGGGGGGCAGGGAGCGAGGGGGGGGAGGAAGGGCGCGCCGCGCCTTGAGCCCTGGGGCAGAAGAGGGCGGGAGGGCTGGAAGGATGGATGGGGCCTAGCGTAGAGGCCTGCTCAATGGGGTCCGAGTAGATGGGGCCGGAGGATCGCGCCGTATCGGCGATGCATCAGCGGTGCATCGGCGCCATCGGCATAGAGACTATCGGGCTCCACATCGAGGTACATCGGCGAGGAGGAGGGGTGGGAGGAGGAGATGGAGGATGAGGAGGAGGAGGAGGAGGAGGAGGAGGAGGAGGAGGAGGAGGGGGAGGAGGACGACGAGGACCAGGGCGTGGAGGAGTAGGTGTGAGGATGGAGGAGGGAAGATGATGTTGAGGGCGGGGTGGTGGGGGTGAGGGGCGAGGGTGGGGAGGGCGGGAAAGAATGATGGGGTCCGCCTCGTGCCTGCAGGTGACGAATCCGCCGCAGTGCCACGACGCGGAGGGTGTCGTGGCCGTGGCCGGTCTGGCCAGGCAGCAGCTGGAGGCGGGCGGGGTGGGGTGTGGGGCGGGGGAAGGGGATGACGTTTTGGACGTTAATGCGCAGCTTTGTGTACAGAGGATGAGCGAAGAAAGAGGAATCAACCAAGTGCTGAGCCCAGTTGTCTTCAGCCCCAAGCTTCCAGCCCAGCTACCCCGAGGGGCGGGCCAGGGAAACCGCAAGCTGTTGGGTGGGCGTCAGGCTTCGGGAGCCTGTGACGGGGGGAAGTCACCGACTTCCAACACTTTTCTCCTCTCCCGAGGCTCAGACCGCCAAGAAAGAGAGATGAGGAGGTGGTGATGGTGGTGGTGGTGGATGAGGAGGAGGAGGAGGAAAGGGAGGAGGCGGAGGAGGAGGACGAGGAGGACGAGGAGGAAGAAGCAATTGGCCCGCGAGGCAGACACCTGACGATCAAAGTTGTGTGGCGTGATTTTTGCTCCGCGGTCGGGGAGAAACCCATCGTGGCCACCAGCATTTTCAGTCACACGCAGGCCTCAGAGGCCGCAAATGCTGGGGTGGATCCCCAACGCTGGCTCGCCAATTATCTTGCTGACGCGGCCGCGGAGGAGGCCGCCCGACAGGCCCAGATTCCCAGTCAGGACATATCAGCCATCATCCAGGTGGACGAGAAGGAGAGGAAGGTGCACGGCCACCTCCTGGCCGTCGCGACCGCGGTCGTCACGGCTGCCCCCCCCTGTCTACGGCGCGTCATCGCGCCAGGACCGCCAGCGCGAGGCCAAGGCGCAGGCGGGAAAGGGGAGGGGGGCGGCGGCAAAGGCAGTCGCAGCGTCGGCAGGTCTTCAGAAACACCAGAAGCAGGGTTTCTTGCGCTGCTTGCCAGTCGAAGCCTGGGCGCGGAGGGAGGCAGGATTGGCTGACCAGTCCTTGTGTTGACTACCCGATAGCCTTTCCCACTTGATCGAATCCGGTTTTTCAAAAGAGAAAAGGTGTGTGCCAGTGGGGGCTGCGGCCGCGAGCTTCAATGAGCTCAATTCAGCATGCAGGCCAGGGACCATCGCCCAAGGTGAAACACGTCTTGACGATTTCGTCGGGCACGAGGAGTTGCCAGCGGATGTCAAAGCATGGGCTCAACCAAACGCCCTGGGACCCCCGAGGCCCCGTGTCTTGCTTGAGTGGCTGTAGAGCCACGGCGGTCTCTGTAAGAGGATCTTGCCGCCAAGGTAAGCGAGAAACACGAAGAGGAGGAACGCGAGGAGGACGAACTATATGAGGAGGAGGCAGACGATGAGGAGTGGAGGAAGGAGGAGGAGGAGTGGGTGGAGGAGGCCGGGGAGGCACGATAAGGAGGGGGGGTGCGGAGGAGGAGGAGGAAGAGGAGGAGATTGAGGAGGAGGAGGAGGAGGAGGAGGAGGAAGAGGAGGGGGAGGAGGAGAGGAGGGGAGGGGGAAGAAGACGGGGAGGAGGAGGAAGAGGAGGAGGAGGAAGAGGCGGAGGAGGAGGGTGAAGAAAAAAGAGAAGAAGAACAATAATAAGCATAATCATAAGGATAATAAGAAAAAGAAGAAGAGGAGGAAGAGGAGGAAGAGGAGGAGGAGGAGGAGGATCAGGAAGATCAGGAGGAAGCTGGGGGAGGACGGCGAGGAGGAGGATGATGATGATGAGGAGGAGGAGGAGGAGGAAAACGGCAGATAAGGTAACCCATAACCCATTGTGATATGCGAAATACGCTCAACCCGCGTTGGACCGCCAAGCGGCCCAGACCGGCACGGGCTGCGCGGCATTCAGCTGCGCACGCCGTGGCCCGCAGGCCGACGGCGGGAAATCGCCTTGCATCGCCAGCGGCGAAGGAGGACGAAAAGGAATATCAGAAAGGAGGAGGAGGAGGAATAGGAGGAGGAGAAGGACGAGGAGGAGGAGAAGGAGGAGAAGAAGGAGAGGGGAGGAGGAGGAGGGAGCGGAGGAGGAGGAGGAGGAGGAGGAGGAGGAGGAGGAGAAGGACGAGGACGAAACGAGGATGAAACTGAGGAGGAGGAGGAGGAGGAGGAGGAGGAGGAGGAGGACGAGCAGCATGAGGAGGAGCAGGAGGAGGAGGAGGAGGAGGAGGAGGAGGAGGAGGGAGGAGGAGGAGGAGGAGGAGGAGGAGGAGGAGGAGGAGGAGGAAGGGACAGGAACTGCAAGAGGACGGGAACCATGAGGAGAAAAGCAAAAAGGAAACGCAGGAGGAAGAGGAGGATCATGAGGAGGAGGACGAGGAGGAGGAGGAGGACGAGGATAAGGAGGAGGAGGAGGAGGAGGAGGAACAGGATGATGATGATGATGATGATGATGATGATGATGATGATGATGATGATGATGATGATGATGATGATGATGATGATGATGATGATGATGATGATGATGATGATGATGATGATGATGATGATGATGATGATGATGATGATGATGATGATGATGATGCTGATGCTGATGCTGATGCTGATGCTGATGCTGATGCTGATGATGCTGATGATGATGATGATGATGATGATGATGATGATGATGATGATGATGATGATGATGATGATGATGATGATGATGCTGATGATGATGATGCTGTGATATGATGATGATGATGATGATAATGATGATGATGATGATGATGATGATGATGATGATGATGATGATGATGATGATGATGATGATGATGATGATGATGATGGACGATGATGATGATGATGATGATGATGATGATGATGATGATGATGATGATGATGATGATGATGATGCGATGATGATGATGATGCTGATGATGATGATGATGATGATGATGATGATGAGAGAGGAGGAGGAGGAGGAGGAGGAGGAGGAGGAGGAGGAGGAGGACGAGGTCAAGGACGAGGACGAGGACGAGGAACAGGAACAGGAACAGGAACAGGAACAGGAACACGAGAAGGAGGAAGACGGGGAGGAGGAGGTGGAGGAACAGGAGGAGGAGGAAGATCAAGAGGAGGAAGGGAGGGAGGATGGCGAGGAGGAGGAGGATGAGGAGGAGGAGGGAAAGGAGGAGGAGGAGGAGGAGGAGGAGGAGGAGGAGGAAAAGGAACAGGATGAGGAGGAGGTGACGGAGGGAGCGGAGGGAGCGGAGGAGGTGGAGCAAGAGGAAGAGCAGGGGGTGCAGGAGGAGGAGGAGGAGGAGGATGAGGAGGAGGAGGAGGAGGAGGAGGAGGAGGAGGAAGAGGAGGAAAAGGACCGAGTGCAGGAGGTGTGGGAGGTGGGGGTGGGGGGTGGGGGAGGAGGAGGAAACGGAGGAAGAGGAGGAGGAGGAGGAGGAGGAGGAGGAGGAGGACGATGAGGAGGAGGATGAGGAGGAGGAGGAGGAGGAGGAGGAGGTGGAGGGAGCCGACGAGGAGAGGGAGGAATCGGAGTGCTTGCGAATCGATATCGCGTTCGACATCCCTCCCTTTTCAGACTTCCCCGAGCGCCAAGACGGGTCGAAGCCGAAGAGGCCGAAAGGGATGCAGGACACAATGATGACACCATAGTTTGGTTCCCCTTTCTGAGCCCCACGGGGAAGGCACGGCTGAGCGCCACGACTGAGAGCCCCCACGCCAGCAGGAGACCCGAAATGCGTTCACCATAGATCATGCACCTCCGCACTCCGATCTTTACTGCATCGAACCACGTGCGTGTCGGACCCCGCTGGATGCGTCGCTGCTGCTCGCAACCGTCGGCCGGCGGGGCGGCAGGTGGAGCAGGCATCGGCGCTGCTCTGGCCATTGCAGCCGTGGCCTCGCCGAGATTGTGAAGCAATGAGGCGGTGTCGGTGAGCTGAGAAGCATTGGCAGCGGCATGCCGAGAAAGACGACGTAGTCCACGATGGGGTCCGTAGAGCATCGACATCTCGCAAAAGCCTCTCCCTTTCAGCTGCCCAAGCCGCGTCGACCTTGGGACCCGCGCTGGATGGGGTCTTGTTAATCAGCGCCCCTGCTGCGGCCTCGGCGTCGAGGCGCGCACGGCGGCGAACAATTGGCTGCCTCTTGGCCAGACGCCTATCCACTGTTGGAAAGCCGACCACCCGCAGGTTGAGCTCATCAAGCGGCACGAAGCGTTCCGCATCGGACCTGATCTCGAAGTGCTTTTTCGCCGCGAATCGAGTCGTCCCCGTCTCGCGCGGCGCGCCAGCAGAAGGCCCAGTGCCCGACGAGAAAACCAAACGCTTTGGGCACGCGCGGCGGCGCCGCGGCAGTTCCTTGGGCTCCACCGCCTGCTCTCCGCCACCTCCAGCGCCTGCAGGACGGAAACGAGATCCTGCTCCTGCTCTGCGCTGCCCGCAAACTCCGCCACCAGCGGCTCGTGACGTCCCCTGTCGGCCGCCATGTAAGACCCCCAATCGCCCACTCATCGCCGACAGGGGTCTGATCGTCCCAATCCGCCCAGGAGCGCGCGGATCTGCTATCGGGTACCCATCGCCGATCTATCGGCGATGGATCGTCGATTCCAGGCCGATGTCGCCCCCGCTATGCCAGTCCACCTCGAGTGGAGTTGGGTTCATCCCTTCTCGACCGATTGTCTGGGGTCCCAAGCAGTACGGACCCCCAGCCGCCTCCAGGTCCGCAGTGGATTTTTCCAAACCCTCCTATGGTTGGGTACTCGTTAGGCATAGAGCAGTGTGGTCGCCCCGGCCTCCTTCTCCTCCCCCATTCCTCCCCTCCTCCTCTCCTGTTTCCTGTGTTCCCCTCTCCTCTCCTCTTCTCTCGTGCCGTCGGGCTGCGATCTGCGCAACTGTCGCCACTTTCGTGGGCTCCTGGGAGGCCCAGCGGAGGTACGCCCAACGTGGATCACCTCGGGACCTCGCGGCGCCCTGGGGGGCTGCGATCTGCGCAACTGTCGCCACTTTCGTGGGCTCCTGGGAGGCCCAGCGGAGGTACGCCCAACGCGGATCACCCCGGGACCTCGCGGCGCCCTCGGGGGCTGCGATCCGCGCATCTGTCGCCTTTTTCGTGGGCTCCTGGGAGGCCCAGCGGAGGTACGCCCAACGCGGATCACCTCGGGACCTCGCGGCGCCC